GCTAGCATAGCGCTGTACCTAGCCTCTGTGTCTGCCAGTGAGTTCTCCAGCGCTGCTTTCTGTTTGAGAACATGCACAAAAACATAATAAAGCACCGTTGCTCTGCTTGTTTTGAGTCTTGCATTATATTTTCCTACCTCTGGTTCAGATAATCTATCTAATCTCACTCTACATTCCACTTGTGTCTCACCATGCTGAGTTGAGACTGCAGCTCGATCTCCAGACTCTGTAAGGTGTTTCGCAGCTCTGTGATCTGCGATCTGGACGTATATATGGTCTCTGTGCTGATGGCCACCTCTTTGTTCAACCCTGCCGTCTAAACAATAGACAAAAACACTATATCACTATCCAGGCACTACTACAAGTGACATTCAGGAATATGTGGTTTATTATTCAGTGAAATCTTGATAGCAAAGTAGAATTCAAATTTAGACTGAGGGAGAAAGAAGAAGTCTTACCTTGTCTTTGAACCAGGCCTCCTGTTCCCTGCGGTGTTTCTGTATGATGTTCTCGTAATGAGAACGAATCTCCTCCATAACCTTGTTCAGGTCTTGCTGAGGAGCAGCATCAACCTCTACGTTCACTGTGCCTGTCAGCTGTGACCTCAGTGCAGCCAGCTCCTGTAATGCCACAGTATAAGAGAATAGAATAGAATAGAATAGAATAGGATACTCCAAAATTTAGGATCAGTTCTACATAGATGATCTATCAGAAAACCACTACAAACCTCCTGGTGGTTCTTCTTCATAAATGCCAGCTCTTCCTCCAGACACTTGATCTGCATCTCCAGGTCGGCCCTTGCCAGGTTTGTCTGGTCCAGTAAGCGGCGCAAGTTAGCGACGTCAGCCTCCACAGACTGCCGCATCACCACCTCATGCTCATATCTGATTGACATAGGGAATAAACACACCAATCATTATTTAAACACAACCAATGTCATAAATACACACATGCACTACTGTTCAAAAGATTGGAACCAGTACGTTTTTTAACATCTTGCGAGAAGTTTCTTATGCTTACCGAGGCTGCATTTATTTGACCAAAAATACAGTAAAACTATCATAACGTAATATGTTTTCAAATGTAATGTAGGCCTATTTCTGCAATGTCAACCCTGGTTTGTTTTAGCAGCCATTACTTCAGTGTTCAGTGTCACATGATCCTTCAAACTGAGCCAACTCGGCTTCCAGCATGTTGATTTGGTTCTGGTACCCTGCTAGCATAGAGCTGTACCTAGCCTCTGTTTCCAACAGTGAGTTCTCCAGTGCTGCTTTCTGTTTGAGAACATGAGAATAACACGAGAATAAAGCATCATTGCTCTGCTTTCTTCAAGTCTTATGCTATATTTTCCTTCCTTTGTTTCAGATAATGTATCTAATCTCTCTCACTCTACATTCCACTTGTGTCTCACCATGCTGAGTTGAGACTGTAGCTCGATCTCCAGACTCTGTAAGGTGTTTCGCAGCTCTGTGACCTGTGACCTGGACGTTTGAATGATCTCTGTGCTGTGGGCCACCTCTTTGTTCAACCCTGCCGTCTAAACAAAAGATAAAAACACTAGATCACAATCCAGGCACTACGTCAAGTGATTATTCAGTGAAGTCAGGAGTCTTGCAGTATGTTTGATAGCAAAGTAGAATTCACAACCCGTGGATTCAAGGAGACAGAGGATGTCTTACCTTGTCTTTAAACCAGTCTTCCTGTTCCCTGCGGTGTTTCTGAATGATGTTCTCATAATGAGCACGGACCTCCTCCAGAACCTTGTTCAGGTCTTGCTGAGGAGCAGCATCAACCTCTACGTTCACTGTGCCTGTCAGCTGTGACCTCAGTGCAGCCAAATCCTGTAAACCCACAAGGCTTCAGCATCAGGTCTCTGTTTAGCTGCACAAGTTTTAAAAAAAAAAACTACAAGCAAGTTATTACAAACCTCCTGGTGGTTCTTCTTCATAAATGCCAGCTCATCCTGCAGACTTTCAATCTGCATCTCCAGGTCGGCCTTTGTCAGGGTCGTCTGGTCCAGCAAACGGCGCAGGTTAGCGATGTCGGCCTCCACAGACTGCCGCATTACCAGTTCATGCTCATATCTGATTGGTGGAAAAGCAGGATGAGAAATAAACTCACCAATATAAAGCATGATCTTTCAAGATGCTAAAGCTATCAAGCTATGGTTACAGAGGAATGTTATTTGAGAGAACTTACTTTATCCTGAAGTCATCAGCAGCCAGTTTAGAGTTGTCAATCTGCAGGAGGATGTTGGCATTGTGGATGGTAGCATTTTTAATCTGTAATGAAAAGCATTGAGATGCAGTTTTTAATACATTAGTTCAGAACATAAAAGTGGGGCAAAATGTCATAAGGTTGCATGCCAAATATGTCAGACTTTATAACTTTGCAGTCTTTTATATGAGAACAGTATGCAGTGTGTTGCAAGGATTCTCTGTAATCTGCAATCTATTATTTAGCAACTAGATTAGTGCACTAGAATTTGCTAGTCTTTCCTATCATGTGGCATATTCTTTCAGGCATCACTGTACCTTGTCCTTCAGGTCCTTGATGGTGTTCCAGTAGGGGCTGTAGTCCCTCTGGCAGATCGGCCCCTTCTTCTCATAGTACTCACGGATCTGCCTCTCCAGGATGGCATTGGCAGCCTCCAGCGAGCGCACCTTCTCCAGGTAGGACGCCAGACGGTCGTTCAGGTTCTGCATGGTGGCCTTCTCATTCAGCTGGAAGTCATTTACAAAGCAGCCTCCAGGCATTATGCCTGCTACATATCCTCCGCCATAACCTCCACCGTATCCACCACCAAAACCATATCCTCCACCACATCCTCCACCATATCCTCCACCGTATCCTCCACCGTATCCTCCACAGTATCCTCCATCGTATCCTCTGATTCTGGATTGCAGCGAGGAGGAAGAGATGCGGGTGCTTCCACCCAAACCACCTCCATACACGCTGTAGGCTTTCTGTGGAAAGAACGTGGAACAACCCCGACTCTTGGTGATAATGGACTTTGAGGTCACGGTCTTGGGTCCTTTGGAGGACGTCATGCGAACAGAAACCGACATGGTGGATGGATAAGGAGATGAGATGAACCCAGAGAGGAAACTGTTGAGAGAGTTGTCCAGACGAGGATGGCACCTTTGAGTCCAGCTCTGACCTCTTATAGAGATGCAGATCCAGGGCGGCTCCAGGACTTTGTGGGTGGGTGAGGGAGGGTAGGGTGTGTGTGGGAGAGTGTATGTGTGTCAGTCCCAGCTGTCACCACCAGCGGAGATGAAACTTAAAGACCAGTGTTCAGGTTCCACCCTGGTGAGGAAGCTGCTGAGGAATTTATGTGTTAACCGAATGTACTCATGAGATGTACTCACCCTCAAAACTACAATGGAGGGAGTGCAGTAAAATAATTAGGCTTGCGACACACACTGTGTGTATGCAAGTTGTGTGTGTGTGTGTTTACGAGCATGTGGCCAGTGTTTTGTGCCAATGGAGGAAATCCCTTCGACAGTACGGTGCCGAAAAAGGTGGCTGAGCTGGTCATGCAAGGTTGGACATTTTATAAATTCACCATTTTAATCATAATAAAGAAGGATTTGGCAGACAGGTAGCTCCCTGAGGTGATGTGAGATCATCTGTGGCAGTTTCACCTCCCATTTACAGGTCACATGGATCAGCTTGAGTAATTGCATGCCCAGCTTGGTTATTTTATTTTATTTATTGTGAATGGTGCATGTGTGCAATATTTTAATATTTATTTAGTTTGTAGACAAAAACATGAGGAAAAAGTACAAAAGATTCCACTTTTAATTTTTTATTTGCTTGTGTGCAAGTTTGTCACAAAGTGTGCATTAAATGTCTAAATTAAATGGTTTATTTTAAAACGTCTATTTTCTTAGTGTCCTTTCTAATAAAGCTTCTTTATTCTTCATCTTGAATCTGAGAGACAGAGAGAGTTAGTGTTGTGCTTAGCTGCACTAGAGGGCGCTGTGAGCAGCAGGTTGAGCAGCAGAGCTGATACTCTTGGCTCTCGTCGGGTTCAGTGGCGGCGCCTGTAATCCAAACTACTGGGAGGCTGAGGCTGGAGGATCGCTGGAGCTCAGGGCTTCTTCTGGGCTGCAGTGGACTGTGTCGATCGGGTGCCCACACTAAGTTCGGTATCGATATGGTGCTCCTGGGGGAGCTCGGGACCACCAGGTCGTCTAAGGAGGGGTGAACCGGCCCAGGTCGGAGACCTGGGGGTCAAAGCCCCCGTGTCGATCAGTAGTGGGATCGCGCCTGTGAATAGACACTGCAGCGCAGCCTGAGTGATACAGCGAGTGTGAAAATGAAAAAGTGAAAGTGACGTGGTGACCCATACTCGGAATTAGTGCTCTGCATTTATCCCATCCAAAGTGCACACACACAGCAGTGAACACACACACACCGTGAACACACACCCGGAGCAGTGGGCAGCCATTTTTTTTGCTGCGGCGCCCGGGGAGCAGTTGGGGGTTCAGTGCCTTGCTCAAGGGCACCTCAGTCGTGGTATTGAAGGTGGGAGAGAGCGCTGTACATTCACTCCCCCCACCTACAATCCCTGCCGGTACAAGACTCGAACCTGCAACCTTTGAGTTACGAGTCCGACTTCCCCCGTGTGTGTAGTTATTTGGTGTGGGACTATTTAATAATAATTAACATGTATAATTAACATTGTAATGGTATTTATAAAATGAAAAACAACAACAAATAATAATAATAATAATAGTAATAATAATAATAGTAAATTAAATGATCTTTCGATTGTTTGTAACAAACTCGTACTGTTCCGGAAGCTCAAACAGTGTATGGTGCTAGAAAAATTTACGGGTTCGATTCCCAAGGAAGCATAAAAATGTCTGCCAAATGCATTAAAGAGGAATTTTAAGAAGGAGAATTTTATTTCAATATAAGTGACGTATTTTAGAGCTCCACCTCTCCATCTCTCACTCATAGCAAACTAGGGGTGTGGTTAAGGATATAGAGTGGTGGAACTATGATGTCACTTTGTAGGCAAAAACCCGGAAGCGAGTTAGCATTTTAGCACTTCCGGTTCCATAGTCCCAGAGTTTGGTTAAATCCCCTAAAATAAGGTCCGTGGTTCACACAAGCTCAAGATACTTTCACATTTTATTCTGACATAAAACACACCAGTTACACCCCACTCGTGTTTTTTTTAAAACTGTTACATTTCTTAACAAAGACGGTTGCTAACAAGTTGCTAAATGGGACTACAGACATTATCGTCATCACGCCGAACAGTTTATCAATTTACAGTAGGCTATTTTCCAACTGTAGTATAATCTATAGTACAATTAATTGTAGAATAACCAATTAATAGTTTACCGCATTTTATATTGTTGCTCGACAATGTTTTTTTTGCTTTGCCCTGAAATGCAAAACAAATCTGCGGATGGAAGATGCTCGTTTTATCGCTTACTGATACGGAGACTCTGGGTTCGGACCATAAGGTATAAACTCCATGTAATCAGCACATTCACCGGCTTAGTCATGGTGAAAGTGAAACCTTAACGATGCATAGTACTTAAAGCCACATTAAAATGAAATGTTTATGGCCACAAGCCGCTGTTAGAAAACATATAGATTGAGGATTTCCTAGAAGCAATGATAAAATAACATTTTGAGTAAGCTACTCATCCTAACAAAACGATAGCTGAAATATGGTACTTTATTCACTAAAATAAGTTTCATGAGGAAGGACCACACGTACCACAACCAAATATGTAAATGAATTGTTTATTATTCAGAATGTTAGGGATGAGTTGGAAGTGGATGAAAAGGTAAAGGGGATAGGATGATGGTCAGGTTGATCTGGGCATCTGGAATCGATGACCTGGAGAGACTCAGGATGGGTGTATCATCTCATTTGTATATTTAGGCCAGACGATTAGGACCCCCCGATGCAACCTGAAAAGAATAAGGATAGCTGATTTGATTAAAGGGGAGGGAAGGGTGGGTTCGAGAGAAAGAGACAAACAGCGTGGTATGAGGAGTTCTGGCGCTTTTATTTAGGCTTCAAAATTCATTTTGTGAAGATTATCTTGATGGACAAAATGTGTCAGTTTCATGAACTATGATTGAACACAGAGCTTATTTTTTGCGATAATCCAAAAGCCTATGGAAAAATTCTATTGGCCTTTTTTCGAGGGAACCAGTGCGACGCTAACAGCCGATCCGCATACAAAGTGACGTCATAGTTCCCCCACTCTATTCTGCCCAAGCCGTCAAAGTGACGTCATAGTTCCGCCACTCTATTCTGCCCAAGCCGTCAGTGACGTCATAGTTCCCCCACTCTATTCTGCCCAAGCCGTCAAA